AACCATCGAATAAAGAAGGAACAAAATATGTTAGGATATTTATTTGTAGAAGTAGATGATGCAAGGGATGTCTGAGTCATTCAGTAGCTACTGTGGACAAGCAAACTTCACTAGATCTTTTTAAAAATTATAGCTAGTACATTATAGGTCATATTTTCCCCCATGTGTAATGAGGACATCAGGCTGACCTTGTACATTGTTATCATTTAGCCAAACATCTATTTTACTTACCTAGTGCGATCATATTAGTTCTGTTCACAGTGCCAGGATCTTCACAATGAGTATGAGGACACTGGAGTTCATTCTTCCTCTTCTGGGCCTCAATCGTGAACATGAAATTCTTATTTGAAAGTTCTAGAAGGCAATACAGCAACCCCTATGCCCTGGAAATAACGAACCTCTTCTATCTAGACAAATGTATCTTTCAGAAGGAAAACCATCCTCTCTTACCCAGGCTACCCGAATAAAACCCGTAGATCAGAGTGCCTTCACCGAAAGGCAAAACCTCTTTTACACTGTTGGGAATGTAATTAGTGCAGCAGCCATTATAGAAAACAGTGTGAAGATTCCTAAAATAAGCAAGATAAAATATAGCATAGTCCAGAAGTCTCCCTGCCAGCTATAAACACAAAGGAAATGAAATCAGCATGCTGAAGGAAGATGTGCCTTCCTGAGCTTGTTGACATTATTCATAGTAGCCAGGATGTGGAATGTACACAAAGTACAATCATATCAAGCCATTAGAATATATGAAATCCTGTTATTGGGCACAATGGGACGGATCTGTAAGATATCATGTTATGTGAAAGAAGCCAAGCACAGGAAGGGAAACGCCACATAGTCTTACTCATATGTGGAATCTAGAAAGGCTGGTATTATAAAAAAATTGGAAATAGTGGTTTTCAGAGATATAGTGGGGATGGGGAAAGGTTGATTAGTGGATTCTGTGTCGAGTACAAAACTTAAAATTTTCTGGTATTTTGTGACAATCAGGTGAAAACATTAATCATAAGGTGTATATCAAGAAACTCAGAAAAAAAGGATGTATTAATGTACTCACCATAAAGAAATAATAAAATTTTAAGGTGACAATTATGCTAATTACCATGATTTGATCATTAGTGAACATTAATCAAAACTTTGTACTTTATAAAACCTTGTGACCTTTTGTCTATTGAAGCCTAAATTTATTTTGAAGGGTTTAAAATGCCTTCTACATAACTCCATCCACCTCATTCCTACCTAGGCACTTTGCTTTTGATCATGTTAAATAATATTTGGGTATTTATTTTCTCCATCATGTTATTCTACTATTTCCTCATTTTGCAGCTTGCTTCTATTGTACACATAGAACCTTCTGAATTAGAAATATTACCATCTTGACCCTCCTCACTACCGAGCCTTTGGGAGTCTTCCAGTGCTGCAAAGTCTAAACCTCTTGTCAAGCTATCGTCCTCATGATCTGTCCCCATCACCTTCCTAACCTCCTCCCTCTGACCAAGTCAAGATGGTCCAGCTTCCCAGAGCAGACAGCCTGCTTTCAACCTTGAATGATCATATCTTGTCAGTTCTCAGCAACGACTTCCTTCCCCTGTCTCTTCTTTCAGTCACTTGCTCCTTATGCAAGTACAGCTTAAGTTCTGTGGGATTCATGGAGATAGATTAGCTTTGTGGTCATGGGCAAATAGATTGTTTGACTATCATCTATTTCATTATCTGATATTTGCTAAAACTGTGATACTGAGGAATCAGAGTGTCATCCCAAGCACCTAATACATCTCCGGCATTTCATACCTACCCAATTAGCATTTGTGTCGCATAATCCAAACCTCTAAACAGTTGTTCAAGAAAATGCCGGGATAAGATTGCATTTGGGTGCCACTGTGACTGTGTGCAAAAGCCAGGTCCCAGTGTGAGTACTGCGTTACCAGCACAGAAGAGAGGGGAGGCCTGGCACACAGCTTCACAGGAAGGATGCTTGTCTGGAAAGCTACAGCAATGAGGAAGATGGCAGCAATCTGTGACACCTCCTAAATGCTCTAATGTTGAAAGCTATAAGGGTTTTTTTGGTTTTGGGGGGGTTTGGGGTTTTGTATTGTTTTTTGTTTTTTTGGGGGGGTTTTGGGGGTTTTTTTTGGTTTTTGTTTTGTTTTGTTTTTGCCTTGGCTTTTTTCTCCTGCAGTTCTCAGTTCTCTGCCTTTCTAACCTCATTGCCTGCGTGGGTGAAAGGGCAAGGATGCGGTTACCTATAATTTCTTTGTCATAGAAGTAACCACTGTGTTTCGCTAGCCCTGGACAGGAAGGTGTTCTATGTCTTAAAAAATGCTAACCATCCTCATCAAGCAGCATCTCCCTGTACAAGTACCCTCTACACACACTGTATAAGTACACACACACACACATACTGGTGGAGTCTGAGAACAACAAAATTTCACTTTGGTCTGGAGGTCTTGACACTCTAATAATTCACTCTATTTGTATTTCTAGAGCAGAAGGATCATTGCATGTTGTAGTAGAAGGATCTGTTTGTTTCCCACTTATGTTCCACCAAGAACTGATTGTCATTTCATGTGTAATGTCACAGGAGTCCCTTTTTTCTGAGCACTTTCCTGTCCTGTTAGTGCTGTGTCACTAACCTGTAAACATAGCATTATTGTGTCGATCCAGGATAGAGCAATGGTTATGCAGAAGTGGGAAAGAGTGAGACTGCCGGGGATTCCTTTGTTTTAATTATGTGGGCTGGGCATATAAGGGCAAAGTTATCAGGGATCCCAATTATCCATGAATCATGATTAGTAGGCGGTATCGATCTTTACCCATGAACTATTGGTACTTTCTCACCAACTAGAAGATAAAGTATAAAGAATCGTACAGTTGGCACAAAATAAATCAAATTGCAAATAAACACTTAGGGAGAAATAGTCATCCTCATAAATTAGGAGATGTTCATAGTAACTCTGGGTGTCACTTTGCATCGATTAGATTTTCATGGGTGCTAAAACTTATGAAGTCAGGGGCTGGCAAGGAAGCTTGGTGGGAAGAGGTGGTAGCTGCCAAGAATAACAACTAAAGTTCGACCTGTCGGAATCCACGTGGTGGAAGGAGAGAACCAACTCACTCAGGCTGTTCCCTGACCTCTGCATATATGCTGTGTCACATACACACGCACGCACACAGTACACACAGCTATATAAATTATTTTTATCATAAAGTCAATGGCTCTAAGATTGGGGTGAAAGTTATATAGATATATCCAGAGATGAGTCCCCTAATAGGTTATTCAATCCCAAAAGGTCATTCCAAAAATATGCACATATGCATGGTGCTAAATGGAGTCAGTAAACATTGTATGTGTGCGTGCGCGCATGTGTGTGTGTGTGTGTGTGTGTGTGTGGTGTATCTAGCTATAGAGAAAGAAAAAGAAGCAATGTACATGGTCTGAAGAGTACCTGAAAATATAAATGAAGAACTTAGTAACTGTTTGTGTTTGAAGTAATTCACCTAAAGTAGATCATAAAATAGAAAAAGGTAACCATTATCAGCATGGTCACTGCAGCACAATACATAATAGCAAAACAATAGAAATATTCTAATGATCCAACTACCGGGATGACTAAATAAACTGTACATGAATAGGAAGTAATAGTATATTGAACTAAAAAAATAGCTATTGTCCAAAATGCTTCAATTAGTTTATGAAAGGGAGTCATGCGCGTAGTGTTCTGTGCATGTATAAAATGATGTAAATGCATACGGATGTGTAAGGAGTTGTTGAGAATGGAAGGTTCACACATCAGTAAAAGACCGCATTCTTTCACATGCAGCTTGCTGTTGGGTCATTATTATTCCTTTCTCAGATGAAAGGTTCTCCATATCTTTAGTTGAGACGGCTCTGCAATCAACCCAGATGGCAATTCAGGCATAGGCATTGATTAAATGACGTTTAGCAAGCTCTTTTTTTTTTCAATTTTTCTATTAAACAGAATCCAACTCATAGACTTGGTAGAAGCAATAGCATAAGCATATAAAATATGTTTAAAAGCTATTTGCTGATATAAATTATCATTGGTGCTAGATTTTATGCTGATTTAAACTACTTATACACAAAATCAATCTCGCTATATGAAACCAAAACAAAATAATGAATCACATCAAATTCCAAGACAGATATTCAACTGGAAATCCAATTTTTCAAGATTTAATAAAATACCTGAATCATTGCTGATTAATTTATAAATAAATGTTGAACTAATAAAGTATTATGATTTGTAGGTTAGTCTTTTGTGAGGGTTGGGGGTTATTAATTTTTATTGAGCTCTACATTTTTCTTTCTACAAAGTTCGTTTTTTAAAAAAAAAATATTCTGAAGCTTGAAAGACACATTGCTTCATTTTTTTTGAATCTCCTGAGTCCAGTTAGTGCTACCTAGATCTGCATGGGTAGAGCATCATTTCTCAGGGGCCACATCTCTGAGGAAAAATGGTTCTCCCTTACCTAGTAGCCACTGATTGTCAGTAGCTTCTTAGCTAGGGGTGGAACTGCATAGGCCCTCCCCCATCCATGCTAAGATTTTGTCTGATGTATGTCTTGTGCATGAAGTCACAGTCATTATGAGTTTATGTGTGCAATAGCCCTGTCATGTCAGGTAAATACTGTTTCACTACAGATGTCCACTGCCTCTGACATTTATAAAATTCTCAGACAGTATAAAAACACATGACATCATAATCAAATTGATGTTTTATTCTCTGTGTCATACCTCGGTATCATTTAAGGCTTACTTCAGAATAATACACGTTGAGCCCAAATTACAAGGGAACACTAACCATTTCTCTAGGAGAGGGTTCCTTTCTCTGGTATATGATTTTCCTTATCACTAGCCATTTAATTGCATAGATCTTTCGATATTTGTTATTTTCTTGAGAGTAAGACTTACTAAGCTATGCAAAAGCATTTTGCATAAATGTCCCATTTTGTTTTTTTTTTCTTTTTTCTTATAGTCATTCCCAACACAGCACCACAACTCGGCAGCCTTCGGTGACTCTGCAACGGGCCATCTCCCTAGAAGGGTAAGAGAATACTATAATGCCTCTCTATGCAGCACTGACCTGCAAACAAGCTGCTCCTCCTCCTGCTGCATACACTTCCTTCCCTTCTCCTCCTTTTCTTCCTCCTCCCCTTTCTTCCCCTCTGTTCCCTTACCCATACCTCTTCCCTACCCTGGCAATTGTTTATGAAGTTTGTGCTATGTGCCAGGCACTGTGGCGGGGGTTAGATTTAAAGTTGAAATGTAAAATCCCACTTCTCCTTCACAGGACTCATTGGAACTGATACAAATGCTCATATGTACTTGAAATACCATATAACTATTGCAGTGGACAATGTGCATAAGAATTAGTGGAGGACCCAGGATGAGTGCTGAATGGAATCAGTGTCAGAATGGTAGGGAGAAGAAAAGAGGGAAGGGAGAGAATATGGAACCTAGTTTTGTTTTCAGAATACCTCAGCCACAGATATAACCCTTGTGCTGGGAAGGGATGTCCCTGTGGATACCTGTACAGCAACATAGTTCATGGGTAATCCTTCAAAAGAATAGTTCAGAAAAATGGATCATATGCTTACTAGGTACCTGGCTGTATCTCTATGTCTGTCTAGCTAGGTAGTTAATTAGTCTTTATGTTCATCTATCTGTCATATCGGTTTTATTTCCAAAATAATCATATGAGATAATTATCTTTTCTAAATCCTGCTTCTCTGAGGCATTATGTCATCTTCTCATGGACTCTTACTTAAAATAATCCAGGTTGTATTTGAAAACATATCAGATACTTCTTCCATACAGACCTGTCCCCTGTAATCTGATTTGGAAAGACTTTATTGAGCTGGGGGGGAAAAAAGTATACTACATTTAGGCTGTTACATATAGCAAAGACTTTCCAGGGTAGAAATGACACAGCTCAAAGTCAAAGATACTGACTTTCAGCGTTGTCCTATGAAATCAGCACCCTGTTGTGAATGGCCTTCACAATAACCCTTCACAGTCTCCGCACATGACCCTTCACGGTGATGATGCTGTCTGGGTGAAGATGCCAGTGGGGAGAGCCTGTTCTCCACTAGTGTTACTTCACCTTGCTCCTGTGAAGAGCCCTCGAGGCAGGGCTCGGTGCAGGACCTTTCTGCATTTGGGTCACGAACACAAAGACTGGACTTCTCAGAGTGCTAACGGTGCATCCTTTTAAAACTATTTCCACTCCCTCTCTTCCTTTTTTATTAAAAGAAGCTTATTAGCAGTTTGCCTAATAAGCATCTTGCTTTGCCTTTACCATTCTTTCCACTTGAGCTAAATGAACTCTGCTATAGACATAATCACTAATTCTAATTCTCTGATAAGATGAAGGAGCCAGAGGGGAGAATTGTATTGAACTTTCCAACTTTCTGCAAAGTACATATCAGATCTTCAATAAGTAGTAGTTGAATGCATATTTAGCCCAAATGCTCTGAAAATGAAAATCAATAAGCGGAAGATTTGTGTAACTTCAGTAACACTGAAGACCCACACTCAAAACATAATCTCAAACACATAAATATGAAATTATTTATATAAATACCTCTAGGCAATGAAATAATCTAAACACAAATGGGGCATTTAACAGGAAATATCTTGGTGCCCAGCACATTGTCGTCTATTCTATAGTCTATGCTATGTGTGCCCAGTTGGCTGCTACGCCAAGATAATATAGCACGAAATTCTTACCACTAACCACGTAGTGGAAGAGTTATTTTCTGTTTTAAATAGAACAATGAGTCTTAAACAGGTTTCCCATTAAGGCATTAAACTCCTTAGAGTACATAACCAACTGAAATTGGAAATCCAATTATTTTAAAACTTTTTGCTAATGCTTTTGCAAAACTCAAATAGCTGCATAACAAAATTATTAAATAAAATGCATTTTAAAATACCATACAGCTATATAATTTTCACCTCGGTTTCTGTTTACATGACATAAAGTAAACAGAAATGGATTTCTTTTGCAGCTAATTTGATCTATGTAGACAGAAAAGCTGTCTAACTGAGCCATCTACCCTAGTCATTGCTGTTTTAAAATAATATCCAAATTATCTTTAACTATACCCAATACAGAAAGACAAAACAATATCTCCATTACCAGGGTAGGCTCCGTTCTCCCTTCTCAGCGTCACAGACACAGCCCACACCTTAATCTCCTGTTCCTCCTGAGATTCCATCAAATAATAGGAATGAAATTTTCCAGGGAATAGTGCCAGAGTGATAAAGGAAAATGAATGGGGCAGCTGACTTCAAAATGTCACAGAAAGTCAAGTGGGGAGAACTGATGGACGACACAGAACAGGGAACCCCAGCTGTTGGGGTAGGCTGCTCATTCATTTCTGACTGCCCAGACCACGAAATAATCATTCAGAAACCATATTATTTACAATACTGTTTGGCCGATAGTGTAAGTGTATTGCTTGCTAACTCTTACATCTAGAATTAACCCATTACTATTATTTTATATTCTACCATGAGTTTCGTGACCTACTGGCAAAATTCCAGCTGGCACCTCGCATCTTTCCCCTCTGGTGGCTACATGGCATCTCGTGACTCCACCTTCTTTCTCCCAGCATTCAGTTTAGTTTTCCCACCTAGCTCTACTCTGCCATATCACAGGCCAAGCCAGTTCTTTATTCATTAGCCAATAAAAGCAACACATATACAGAAAAACCCACCCAGCTTTAGATTCCATGGAAACAGGACTATGGACTCTCTGACCCAAGTCTTTACCTCTTGAATAGCCGTTATGTTGTAACCCCAGTGGATGAGTGAAACCTCAGAAAGAACCAAACCGCACGATTATAGCTTTTTCCCAGTTAAGTGAGTGCTCATCACACACTGTGGGCGTAGCTTTTGCAGCAAAACTAGCATGGATTTTTTTTTCCTCTTTACAGTTTTATGGATGGAGTATTCTACAAAACTTAGCAACTTCAACACATTTTTTTTTCTCCCTTGCTTTGAGTGTTGCTGTCTTCCATGAAAGAAAACACTGTTTTGGCTTCTCTTTGACATGTCAAAATGGCCAGCATTCTTACCCTAGTGCTGCAGAATTCATTATTAACTAAGGTCTACTTGAACACCTTTCTATGACATCCAGTAACTGAGCCATCTCAGACATAACTAGTATGCAGGTAATATATGTAGCACTGGATGAAAAGGATGGCTTGTATCCATAGGAGATGGGCCAGGTTCTCTTACACTATTCCAAATGTTGAAGAGTTTAAAACGGAAGAATTATTTCTTTCTGGGGTCTTCCAGTTGCCACTTTCAGACGATGGTTGGTTGACTGTAGGTACCTGAAACATCCGAAAGTAGAAACACTGAGAAGCGAAGCTATTCTATGTAAATGACATCCCCTAGGTTGTATTTCTGGGGAGGTCATCCATGAGAAGTGGCCACAGTGCAATAGCACTGTGTGTAAGGACCTATAGATCAGAGAGAACAAGTCCGCTCAGCAGAACCCAGGTCAGTCAGAGACCTAGGACTCTCCCCTGAGACCGAGACACATTCAGCTCCTCGGCTAGTACCAAGTCTGTTTTATGTTGCCTTCCAAAGTTGTTTTAGAGACATTTTATAATACATTAGTAATCTGCATTAGTAAAACTGCTGATATGGAAGGTGGTTGGCTGCCCTTTATGAGAGGCTCTCAGGAAATGAGGAGGACATCTTCAAGAACACTATAGACTCTAGTAAAAACAGGACTGAGAGCAGATTCTGAGAATGGGAATAAAGACACTTGCAATCATCAAACACACCTCTGTGTGTGCAGGATGGCATACCAAGTTATGTAGACAAGTCTTTTAAACCAAGGCTCAAAACAGTTCTTCTGAGAGTGCAAGCTTGCTCCCTCCTCCAGGGAAACTATATGTGTTCATTTGCACACTGGCCTCCATAGTAAAAGCCCTTCCCGTCAATGCTCAGCTCGAATTAGTTGAGTTAATTGAGCACTAATTGATTAAACAACAACCACCCTTGTAATTCAGAAAGCTCACCAGGCTCTATAGCAGTTTCCAGACTGATCTAGGCTACACGGCAAGGAAGGAAGGAAGAAAAGAAGGGAGGGAGGAGAAAGGGAAGGAGGGATGGAAGGAAGAAAGGAACAAATGTACAAAAACACACAGGTGGGAGTCTCTTAGGGATTCCGAGGAGAAGAAACTGAGAGTTGAGAAATATAAACCAGAGGTAAATGTTATTAAAAAAAAAAAAAAAGATCCTATGGAAACCCTCTGCCAACTTTTACACTACTTCAATCATAAATAGAAATGAAAAAGTCGCCAAACATTTTAACAAAGCATGCAAAATGACAGAAGCACGGTGATAGCGCATATTCAAAGCCGAAGAGCATCCTAAAGAAACGGTTGACCGCAGCAACGAAATAGAACTCAAAGAAACTCAGCCTAAGCAGATCCCAGCAATATGGGTGACCGGCAGAATTAACAGGAAAATGGTCAGAAGGAATTGCCTGTGATGCGGTTGATTCTCACAAGAGGCAGTGCAAGCTGAATTTTGAGGATTGTGGGCACAGGTTGCAAGCAGAAAGAAAGGGGTAGTCATATGCAAAATCTGGAAGGATTTTGCTTGTGCTGCTGAGACTTACAAGCAGCTCTGGCTGCTCAGTGCTTTCTTTGCTGGGTACAGATCCCTTAAATTATGTAGCCTTACACAGTCATTTTTGGAGGTATCCAAGAGGAGGAATTTTTGAAGCTGTTTTTGCATTAGTAAGACAACTGATACGGGGGGCGTTGGCTGCCCTTTCTAATAAGCTCTTCATAAATGAGGTGGACCGGGCATCTTTAGGGACATTACAGAAGAAATGCCCTGAGTTAAATTTCCATCTACATGGCCCCACCCAAAACTCTCTCCCAAATCACTAAGTCTTCAATTGCCCAACAGGAAAGCTGGCTACTCTTACAGACTAACAAGCCTGTGGTGATTTTCCCAGTGTGCTTTACAGCAAACAGGTTCCCTCCCACAGGACAGCCACATGCCAGTGTTCAG